CCTGCGGCGCAGCCCTCTGCCCGCAGGATGGACGGTGCGTCCGGGGGCTTGGGCTCCGGGGACAACGCCCCGACCACCGAGGCTCTTTTCGTGGCGCTGGGCGCGGGCGTTACGGCTCTCAGCCATCCGCTGCTCTACGTGAAACTGCTCATCCAGGTGGGGGGCCAGGGTCTCCATAGGGAGGTGGGGATCATGTGAAGGTGACAGGCCTCGATCTGGTCAGGATGGGGGCAGGAGAGTCTGGCGACGGATTTGGGGAGAGGGGTGAGGATCGAAGGTTTGGTGGGCCGAAGGAATGGGAGAATAGGAAAGCGGTAAGGGGTTCCGGGGGATGCAGGGAGCATGGGTTTGGAGGTGCAGAAGAGGGGGCGAAGGGGTCGAAGCGGCAGATTTGGGAGAGGGTGGAAGGAACAAGGGATTTGGGGGTGCAAAGGAAGGGTGATGGGATAGAGGGACGGGTGTGGGGGATAAAGGAATGGAGGCAATGAACTTGAAATAGGAAGGAAGGGAGCCTCAATTTGGGTTGAGTAAAGAAGCAACAGAACTGGAGGGGAGTACGCGGGAAGTTTTGGCGAATGAGGTAGGGAGGAGGATTAGGGGCCGAGGAAAAGTATTTAGAAGATGAACACATATTTAGGGTAGAGGGGAGCAAGAGCTCTGGATTGGATAAGGCCGGATTTAAAGCGGGTTGGTAAGACAAAGGACGAGGGGCCAGGGCCATAAATTTAGGAGAGGAGAAGAAGCATCAAGAGCTGGGGACGGGGGTGAAGCATCAAGAGCTGGGGACGGGGGTGAGGGGTAGTGGATTAAATCGTGACGGAATTTGGTGGGAGACGGCGAAGGCAGAGAATTTAGCAGGGGAGAGCTATCGGTTTGCAGGAGATGGGGGCTCTGGATCTCATGGCGACGACAGATTTGGTAGGAGGAGGGGACTGTGTGACGCGTTTTGGGGGAGGGGAACAGATAGGGCGACGCAGTGGGGGAAGGGAGTGGTGGCAAATTGTCTGAAGATGGGAACGAAGAGGAGGCTTTTAGGGGGAAAGGGAAGGGATGACGCATTTGGAGGAGAAAATGGAAGTTAGGTTGGGGTCGAGAGATAGAAATCTTAGTCCTTGTGTCTGGGGGGATGGGCTGAAGGGGTTTGTAATTGGAATTGGGCAGAAGGGGCGGTTGGGACATAAGATGACAGAATAGGTAGAGGCTGGCAGAAACCGAGGCTAAGGTAGGTATGTCACTGGAACCGTGCCATGCAGGTGCACTCAGTGTATTTGGTGGTGGCCAACAATGCCTTAAAAATTTAGTAGGCTGCTTGAGAAAGAGAGAGATTGACTTGGAAGGAGGTGGGTGAAGGAGTACGTTTGTCAGAATTAGGTGGGAGTGAAGGAGATGGGCACTGAAGATTTAGCCTAGAATTTTCCAGTTAAGAGTGGGCAGTGGAAGGTAAAAATTGAGATGGAGACCTGACCAAGTTTTAAGGTTTGCTTTGAGTTGAGGTGAATGCATGTCAGATTTACTGTCTTTATAATTGTATTGACAATGGAAGATAAAATTGGAATAAGAGAGACTTGAATGGTAGTAATTGAAATCTGAGGTCTGAGGAATGGGGCAGTAGGTTTTGGGGTGTGACCAGGAATGGACAGAGAAGGAGGAGATTCCGTCAGGAACATCAGGGTCCCTGACCAGAATCTTAATTGTGACTGAGATTTGGAAATGGCTGCTGGGGGAAGGTGGAGACTGGCATTTGGTTGTGATTTGGGAGTGAGGGCTGCTTTACTTACAGAATTAGGATTGTATTTACAGTAATAGAGATAACTATTGGGAGAGAAACTGGGACTTTGGAACTGCTGGTACCTGAGATGCAGAGTAAGGGTACTTACTGGGAGCTGAGTTTTTTTGACCATTGGAGTGAGATTGGTGAGGGCTGAGATTTTAGGGTGGCAGATGGGAGGGTCCGTGGAGTGGATGATGCTGGAGTACAGGAATGGGGGGCTCCATGTGAAGGAAGTAGGAAGTTGCTTCATCATTTGGACCATGGTAGATTTAATTTACGAGTTTGAGAAGAAAATTGAGATAAGGGTGATTCAAAGAGGGAATTGGAGAGAAAATTGAGAATAAGGGAGAGTGGGAAATTTGGAGACTAAAGGGAGACTAAAGGATGAGAAGAACTGGATGTTGGGTGGTTAAGGATGGGTGACAGGTGGCCTATCCGATTTGAACCCAGCTGGTGCTAAGTGCAACATATTTTAGGTTGAAATCTTAATGGGCATAGCTTGAGAATCAGTAACGTTTTACAAAAAGGCAGATCTCAGTTTGGGGGAGTAGAGCAAGATTACAGTGGCAGATTTGGGGTTGTCTAGATTAGGTAAATAAGAATGCAGTGCCTCAAATCAGGGCCCATAGGTGTCAAGATTTGGAGATTTGAGGATGATGGACTGGCTCTGCCAGTGTCTGTTCTAGAGCTACAGTTTTGGCTGTGGTTACGATTGGGTTAATTACAGATGAAATTGAGTAGGTATGACTTTAGCACAAATAATGAAAACATGAGGGTGAAAGGAATAGGAGTGAAGTGTGGCCAGTGTGCCTTTGATAATCCAGGTGGAAGTTAAAAATATACACTCAACAGATTTGGGAGCTATGAGGACATGGGGTGAAGGGACACAGCAGGTTTAAGGGTAAAATTAAAATAAATGAGACTCCCAGATTGTTGTGACTAGATTAGGTAAGACAACAAAAGAGCACTAGCTCAAACTTGGTGTCAAGGGTATACAAGGACTATTGCCCATATAAGAGAACAAAATCAAAACAAAACTGAACTCAGAACCTTTGAGTTTTTAACCCAGAAGGGGAAAGTTCTAAAAGGGGTGGGCTAACTGCTTGAATCAGCTGGCTCATCCCTTTTCTCCAACCCCGCTGGGCTAGAATTTTTTTGAAGAAGGTCCCCATCCAGAGGGGTTTTTAATTTATAGTCAGTAATTTGTCATGTAGCTCAGAATCACATCCATAAGGAACATCTTGAACTTTTAAAAACACTTCACCAACTAAGACAAAGAAGAAGGAATTGAGCCAGGAAGCACTAGAAGCATACCTAATCATTTCTAAGGAAGAGTTTCCTAACCCTGCCATTTCTGCTCCTTTCCACTTTCAAGGGTTGCTGCTTTGGTTTATGGGCTCGGTTGGCCTACCCTGAAGGCCTGCTGTCCCAGCCCCCCGCCAAGGAAGGGGCCTTTTCACACCCCACTTAGGGGCTGGTCTCCTGTACACTGCCTCCTGCATGGCGGGAGAGAGAGCCTCTCTCCTCATGAATAACACACGACCTCACCCCTCAGGCGAGACCCCACCTCCTCACAGGGGTATGTGTGGCTTGGTCATTCACTCACCCAAGAGTTTAACAGGTAACTTAGTTATAACCAGCATCTATATAACAAGAATAACGATAGCCCCACAAAAATGAGAGGACATTCTGTCACAGAGATTTGGATGATCAAGATCAGAACACAGTTGAGGAATTGTTTGAGGAGCAACTTGGATTTGAAGTTACAGTTTGCTCTATCTGGGAGTGAAAGGGACAGATTTGTTGGCATCTTCAGAGGGTGAGGTCAGAAATTGGAGTTGTGAGGTGAACTTTGGAATGGGTTACATGGAGATGAGCTGTCTGAGGTTTGGGACTGAGATTTTGGCTTTCTGTGTTTTGGTGTTGCCACATTTGATTGAGACAGGACTGAAGTTTTTAACCTGGAGATGAGAATTAACTGAGGTTTATTCTGAGTTGAGCATGAGGTTCAAAATATATATAAAATAGGGAGGGTTTTACCCTGGTAATATCTGGAATTCGAAGTAGGAATATTGGGGGATGGAGGTGACTCGATTGTGGTAGGGGTGGTATCTGAGACTAGACATTTCTGTTCATTGAGAGATTCCGTGATGCTGATGGTTGTAGACACCGATGAAATTTCTGGTATGTCTCAATGAGGAAAACATCAACAGGAACAGCATTAGGATTTGTGGAAGAAGAGTTAGAGACTGGGAAATATGAGAAGCCCTAAGACTGAATCAGCAGTAATATCTGACCTTCCTTTTGTATTTGTTGATTCCGAAGGTGGGTCATGAGCCGATGCCCCCCACAATTGGGACCAACGTGCTCGGAAGGAAGGTCCTCTATCTGCCGAGCTTCTTCACCTATGGTGAGTGTGCTTCTGAGGCAGAAAGCCCACACTGACAAAAAAGAAGCGTCAAAGAGGGAGCAGACCCCACTGGCCCTGGGGAACATGCTGGGCAGCATGGCACCCAGAGTCAGAGCTGGCATGGAAGAGAGGATCGCAGAGTGTGGCCAGAGACAGCAGGGTGTTGCAGTGGGAGCAGGTGAGCAATACGGCTTTGGTGCAGCTCCTCTGCTTACAGTTGCCAGCCATCAACCCAGGCAGCAGGAGGGGCGGACAGGTGCCCGAGGGAGGGGCTAGTCCAGGACACTGATCTCTGTCATCCCTGCCACCCCAGGTTGTTCTTGGAATGTGTGTGTGGGGGGCGGGATCCTTTTGCCTTTTGAGCAGTCTGGCCCAGGTACTAGCTTATCTGCTTTCCAGCTACTCCAGCAAGAAGCCTGTTGGGGCCGCCTAGGTTCCTTTCCTTCTTCCTTCGTTCTCTTTCTCTTGTGTTCCCCAGACATGGTACCCACTCACTCTGGCACCTCCACCTACTGGATATAGACCTGCGTGCATGATGAGTCGTGGCTTCATGTCTGGTGTGACCTACCTAACCAGCTATGTGAGATCAGGCAGGCCACTTACCTGCCCTGGCTCTGCATTTCTAGTCTGCAAAGTAGCATCAGTCTTCATGCCTGGCCCTTTGTATAAGTGCACATGTGCACATGCACACACATACACACCCTCCCCGCCTACAAGCAGCTATGCCTTTCATAAGGTCTCTCCACCAAGAAGCTCAGCACAGTAGGACTTACCTGATGCCAGTGAAGCCCACCTGGCTGCCTCTACTGCCCGTTCCCTGGCCCAGAGGCACTAGCCGCTCAAGGCCTTTTCAAGTCTCTCGTTGCTATCCCTCTCCCAGCCCACACCCTCATAGAATGACTGTGATGGAGACTCTTTAAATGTGCCCTTGTTCTTTATGTTCACAGCCAGGCTAATCCTACCTCTGCTCTTATCTCTTTGATCAGTTCAGAACAGAATGTCCTCTGAATATTATTCTTTCTGCTGAATAACTTGGGGCTTCGCCTCCTGTCACCTTTTATTCACTTTACACACTGTTGCCAGAAACCAGTGTCATGTTTCGCTTCCAGTTCTGCCACTGTGTTGTTGAGTATGGTCTAGGGCCAGGAAGAACATGTCATTTTAAGGAGAAACGTGTTTGTATTTGTTTTTACTTAAGGATTGTCAGTGTTGGGGAGGGGGAAATCGCAGAATTAGGGAGGTGCTCCCTACCAAGTACAGTGAGGCCGATATACAAAGTTAACACTGGATCCGTGGGAGCGGGGCTGGTGGCTGCCTGCTCCTCCCTGGTGGTTTCTTTGTTTACAGCTATGCATGCTCCAGCCAGATCAGCTCTATTCATGTCACACAGTCATTCCTGAAAGGACTCTGGAAGAGGGGTCTCGACTGACTCTCATTTGACAGCCTCTTGCAAAGATAAGCAGAGTTCTGAGGTTCTCCCTCCCACTCCTGTTTGTATAAATGTTATTTGAGCCCGTTGGGTGTTTGAAGACACCATACTGCCTCTCCTGTCGGGGAGGGGGCCTGGCTGTCTGGACATCCAGAGACTGTCTGGACAGCATCTACTCTTCCCTGTCATGGTAAAAAGCGCCACAGCTATCTTGACATTCTTTGGTGTAGTGGAAAGAACTTCTTGGAGAGTCTTCCGGGGACTGCAGAGAACCCCTGGAATGGAGGAGCCTGTGGTCAGCTATGGGCCCTTTGGGCATAAAAAGGCCTCTGTTAGCATTTCTGCATGTTTTTCTGCTCTCCTGACTTGTTCACAGTTCATCTCTGACATGGAGAGAAGTAGGGGGTCCTTACTCCTTTTTCCTGGTGAACAAATCGGATAGAAAGAGGTTAAATGTCTCACCTGAGATTACACTCAGGCTTTATCCTGTCCTGCTCTCTCTTGCTGACTGGAGCTCCCTTCACCCGAATTAAACCTTCCTTCAACCTGTTCACTCTGTGAAGCAGGGCGCCTTGCCACATCTCCCAGTGTCCTCTCCCCTCCTACTCGTCTCTTTCCAGCCCTACCTCATCTCAGGAAACCAAATATTCAGGTAACAGGTGTTCTGAGGCCCAGTGAAAGCCGGTGCTAGCAGTGACATTGAATTGCTGGGGTGGCAGACATGTTGCAGAGACAAAGGCCTAATATGCTGGTTCCTGCCACTTTGTGGCGCTAGAGAGCTAAAGTTATGGATTTGAAAGGGGGAGCACATTGAGAGAATGTTCTGCTATCTTCCAAGTATGCAGCTTTAAAAAAATACATCGCCTTTTTTAACATAGTTTAACAACACATTTAAAAAGCGATCCTTTTAGAGATTCCAATGAAAAAACACTGACTCACAGGTAGGGTCTAGTTCCCTGATTGCTTAAGTTTTTTCTATAAAATAGTTCATCAGCGCCTCTATTTTAGTTACTTCTCTACTTGTGTTCCCTACCCCTCCACCTTGATTAATAAATGCCAACAGATGCCAAGTGGGATCCTGGGCAAAGCACGGTGATAGGGTGGGAATGCCTTCTCTGTGGCACGCTCAGGGGACACTCTTGAGCCTTTCTTCTGAGAACTCTTTCTTTTTTCCTCCCTTAGGTTGCAAATTTCATCATTGCCTGTGGGCACACTTCCTTTCCCCCCGAGAAAAACATTTTTTTATGAGCTACAGAGTTGCAGCACTTAAGTTGCTGAGTTTGCCAGATAGATTTTTCAAAGCTAAAAGAAAATGTGTGAACTTGTTTGTGAAAAAATATGTTTAGAAGGTTTTCACATAAAGGAATAGAGGCTACAGAGGATGTTTGGGAGTGGAGCCTGATTGCTTCTGGGGTCCTGGATGGATGCTCCCTTCCATGACGGAAAGCAGCATTTACTGAAGGACAGGCTGCATCTGGTCGGGTGTGACTGTGACCCAGGAGTGGGTGTGTCTGGGCTGGGCATGATATTGCCATGTCTGCTTTCTTATAGCCAAGTACATTGTGCAAGTGGATGGGAAGATAGGGTTGTTCCGAGGCCTGAGCCCCCGACTGATGTCGAATGCCCTCTCCACCGTGACCCGGGGCAGCATGAAGAAGGTGAGCCTGGGGCAAAGGCAGAGCAGTTGTCCAAGGTTCCCCTGAGCTTTCTACCACCCCGGGGGCAGCCATGTGCACTGGTCCAGCTTCTCCATTCCCAGGCTGGTTGGGCCTCCACCCCAGCACCATAGCCAGGCTTCAAACCCTGGTGGCCCAGTGCTGAGTCTCCTTGATTGGGAGGGCTCCTGCTCCACAGTCCTCCCTCTTTCTCCACAACTGTGACACTAGGCAGGGTTATTTTCCCCAAGCCCTAGCCCTGGGGATTACCTGGGATGGGCCCAGCTAATGGACACTGCAGAGAAAATAGTCGGAACTGGTTCCCACAGTCTCTGTCCCGTAAGTGGCATTTACGAGGCATGGCTGTACTTTGCCTTTGGCCCTCTTTTGTTCTTTGTGTCTCAGGTTTTCCCTCCAGATGAGATCGAGCAGGTTTCCAACAAGGATGACATGAAGACTTCTCTGAGGAAAGTGGTGAAAGAGGTGGGCATTGGCATTGGAGAGGGAGAGGTTCTAGGATGGGAGACATTATATCTCCCCTCCGGGTTGGGCAGATCACTGAGCCTCAGTTGGGTCCTCGTGCTTGCATGGGGGGTAGGACATAGCAGGAGCCCCATCATGGACATTGCATTGAATCCCAGAAAGCCTTGAGCTGCCTCAAGGCCTGGCCTGAGACCCGACAGCCCTCCTGGGTATAGGGAATTAAGGGTAGGAAACGAAATGGGGCCATCCGAGGTAGACTGACCCCATGTGGGGTCTGCGGGGTCCTGGGTTTTCCCCATAAGAGCTCTTAGCTCCCCAGGAGTGCCAGTTTCAGAGGCAGGCCGGACCGAGTTCCCCCTCTGCTCTTTTGCAGACCTCCTACGAGATGATGATGCAGTGTGTGTCTCGCATGCTGGCCCACCCCCTGCATGGTGAGCTGCCCCACTGGAGATTGCAGCTCAGCTGTGGGATGACCCCTCGTGGACTGTAGCTGGGCAGCGGTAGAATTACTGGGAAGTGGCAGTGGGGTGGGGGTATTTTGTTGGAACTCCACTGAGGAGAGATTGGCTGGGAGTCCTGTCCAAAAGGAGATGGGGCTCTTCCCAGGCAGAATAAATGGGATGCCGCAGTCATGGGGTATGATGGGGAATTGTAGAGGCCCTCCTCACCTCCTGCACAACAGGCCATGTTGTGCAGCGGCCATTGCAGTGGGCAGCCCACAGCTGGGGTGTCATAAGCTTTGTGTGTATTTGAGTCATGTCACCTGTATGTTTTCTTTTTCCTCAGTCATCTCAATGCGCTGCATGGTCCAGTTTGTGGGACGGGAGGCTAAGTACAGGTGGGTAATTTTTAGGGCGGGCAGGAGCGGCCCCATCACCATTCAGAGTCTGCCAGGACAGGCTGTGCTGGGTCATTCGCTGCGCCTTTCTGTCCTAATTCTAATATACTGGCTTCAGAGGAACTTGGTAGTGGCTTCCATGGTCTGTGTCCATGAGCATTTTCTCTTATGCATCTCTTGTCTGGGCCACCCTGGATCAGCCTGGATGCCCTGCAGAGGAAGGGTGAATGGGATTGGAGTCAGCTTGATGAGGAGTTCTGGCACCAGGGCTGATTCTGTCACTTAGGACTGAGCTGGAGTTCCCTCCTAGACCCCTTAAGTTATGCCCTAATGATTTCTCCGGCTGTCATAAAACCTGGCTTACAGCTCATTTCCTCCTCTGTCCACCCCATGCGCTTGGGGCTCATCCTTTTAGTTATTTACAAGACACAGCCCTTCCCTATGGCAGTTAGGCCCTCCCTGCCTCTCTAAGGCTCAGTCTAGGACAGGAGGTGGATCCTGAAGGCATGTGACAGGAGAACATACCTCTGTTACCCTTCCTCTCTAAGATTCTCGTTTCCTGGGTTCAGTTTCCTGTAGCTGTCCAGTGAGGCCACAGCCCCAGGAAGCTAGGCTGGCATGGTGCCTCCTTTTGAGTTCACTAATGGGAAATTGGTCCATTCCCCCAGACAGAAATGCAAAGTTGGTAGATGGGACCAGGAGTGGCTGAGCCACTGTTCTGAGAAGGAAGGTAGAGGGGCCTGGAAGGTCTGGGTGCCTGGGGACCAACACTCGCCAGAGCTTTGGCTCCCACTTTCTTTTTCTCACCTAGGCTTTGCAGAGCCTCCTGCGGGACAGGCTTCTTGGCATTGCTAGCCACAGGTCAAGAGGTTGCTCTTGAGCCTCCTTTGCATTTCACACCTAAAACACCACAGCCCATCTTCTGGTCATTTACAGGCTTTGGTGACCAGGGTGCCTGTCCTCAGTCTCCCTGCTGCAGAGGGCCAGGTGCCTTTTCCCAGGCTGCATCTGGGCGGTCTGATTCCAGGGCCCCCCTGCTACAGGGCCTTGTGTTTCTTCTCTGCCCTCTGGGAAGGTAATCCTCTCCACTCGCCATCGCTCCTCCTCTCACTCTGTCAGAAGGTTGTTCAGCCAGAGATAAGCACTAAGGCCAGGAGAAGGGCCTGTTGCCTTTGCAGCAGCCTGGGCTGAAAGATTCATTCCTAAATTCAGACCCACAGAAAATACTGCTAGTGAACTGCTAGTGTCCTTCCCTGGTGGTGGTTGGGTTTCCCTAGACTCTGTGAACTGGGTACATGGCCCCTCACCCCCAAACAAGAGCTCTCTAATCTTCTCCACTTGGGTTCTGCCTGTAACAGGGAGTCTCCCCTGCCCATCCCGGCCAGGACTGGATGGCTCTGAGCCGGGGCGGAGGGGTGTGAGTGGGCTTTTCCAGGTGACCTCTATCCCTGTCTTGCTTTCTTCACAGCGGTGTGCTGAGCTCCATTGGGAAGATTTTCAAAGAGGAGGGGCTGCTGGGATTCTTTGTGTACGTGAGTTTATACCCCTCGTAACTGGCCATGGGGCATGGCTCTGCTAACAGGCTCACTGTCAACCTCTCAGGCCGCAGCCGCTGGCCTAACTACAGGCTCCGCCCCTGCCCGGGTAGCTGCACCTCTACAGCATGTACGGATCATCGGGACCAAAGCTGCCCAGTCCTTTCCAGATCACAGCTCACAGAGAGATAGTACTGTTTGTCCAGTACTAACTAGACTGACCCCGCCACAGCCCCAGGCCCTGCCCATTTGCCCCAGGGCATAGGGCTGGACGAGCCAGGGCACTCCATCGTCCTTGGTTGCACTGCTGAAAAATGACTGAAAATCTGTGATGTGGGCGGAAGGTTGAGCACTGGCAGCTCACAGGCTCCAGCTGATGGATTATGTCTGACATAGCATTTCTGACAAATTAGTTCTTCACATCTAACATTTAGGATATTTCACATAACAATCCATATTTCTAGCTTCTCTCGAAAAGTCAGAAAACATGGTCCTGCTGGGCCTGTGTTTCTACACAGCAGCCGTCAGCAGGGCACGTGATCTCCCAAGGGCCACAGACCCCCTGCCTTCAGTGTCTCACACCTTGCTTTACCTATGAAGAAAACATACCAAAAAGATTATGCCCAGACAGAATAAGCCACAAACAAAACCCCAAAGCTGGGCCTGATAAAGGTCATGTGTTTTGCCTTTTTAAGGCCTAGACAGTGACGTACATACTGTTACATACACAGTGTGTACTAGATATGGGGCTCTCTTAACTCGTGTTTTCATAGTTGCCCAGGTGTTTTTACTTATGATCCCTCATTTAACCAGGAAACAACTACACGTAGATGTGTGAATGTGTGTGTGTGTGTGTGTGTGTGTGTGTGTGTGTGTGTGTTTCTCACTAGGTGCTTTTTGCCCCCAGGGACATTAATACTGTCTGAAGACATCTTTTGGTTGTCATAGCTGATATCTATCTAGTGGGTAGGGTAGAGGCCAGCGACACTGCTAAACATTCTGCAGTGCAGAGGTCAGCCCCCGCAACAAAGAATTATTTTGCACTAAATGTCCAAAGTGCTAAAGTTGACAAACCTTGATTTACACACACACACACACACACACGTGTACATTTTTGAATAAATATTTGCCCACGTGACTGGTACATCAGACCTTAAAACACTCCACCACCTCTGGCATTTTTCACACTTATTGTGTAGTTCTGCTGTGTGAACAGGATTCCCATTGGGTTACTCAACCATTGGGTTCTCATCTTCACGTGTTTGTGGAACAGGTGACATGTTACAGTACTCGGAAAGCACCAAAGGGTATGTGTGGAAAGTCAATCTGAGCGCAGGACAAGCAACAGGGTTAGAAATTGCATTCATGAAGATTCATCTTACTAATATCCTTCGTAACATAGCTGTTTTGCATATATTCTTTTGAACTTTTCAAATATTTTAAAATAAGATTTTTAAAAATTCAAAGATCATAATTCTGCTTTCCATCCCAAGAGATAACCGTTCTGCTGGAGATCTTTTCAAGTGCACTGAATATCTAAACAAGTAGATAAGCACATTAAAAAAAAAACACATACACACAAGTAGCACAGAGGACCTACTGAGCTGTCTGGCTTTTTGTCCTCAGCACTGTATCTTAAGGAGAAACTTACATATCTGTTTCTAAAGCTGTTTATCACAAAGGCCATCACTTTAAACGTCAGCCCTCCTTCTGAAAGCTTGCATGGAATGGCTTCATTGAAACATTCCAGAGGTGAAGACAACGGATGCCTTGAGCAAAATGTTTTGAGAGTTGGTTAGGTAAAGAGGCCAGGAGAAAACTATCAACATGGAGGCATTCTTTCCTATCTGCATTGAAAATCCTAGATTTAGCAACATTTACATCTTGAGACCTGGCTTCTGGTGATTAGAAAACCACTTGTGAAATCATAAACTAATTTGTGGCATCAGATGTGGCATATAACACCCACCCCCCTGGGGAAAGGAACACTGCCTTCCTAGTGTCGATAGCTGTTGGCCCACGTGGCCCTGCAGGCTTCCTCTCCTGGGGTGGTGTAGGATATGCTGAAGTTTCCAGCTTGGAACATCCCTGCCTGCTTCCTGGGTGTGGAGCCCCCAGGAAATACTCCCCTCCCTCCCCTGCTCATCTTTGCTCACCTTGTGTTTTTAGCGGCTTAATCCCTCACCTCCTTGGAGATGTGGTTTTCTTGTGGGGCTGTAACCTGCTGGCCCACTTCATCAATGCCTACCTGGTGGATGACAGCGTGAGTGACACCCCAGGGGGGCTGGGAAACGACCAGAATCCAGGTTCCCAGGTTGGTTGGAACAAGGACTTGTCCATCTTTTCATGTACTGCTAATGCCCAGGGTCTGGGGCAGACTTGAGGACTCTGGGATTCTGAGCACCAGGCCCCAAGGGCTAGAGAGGGCCCCCGGGGGAAGAGGACCTCTGGTTGTCCCCAGGTCAGCTATATCTCTGGCTAGATAGAATTGTCCTCAAGAGATGAGATTCAGGATGGGTAACCTGGAGGAATTTATGGAATGCCTGTCCCTGGGCAGCTTTAGAAATAAGACAGACCTCAGCTTATCCAAGGCAGGTTTCAGTTAATGACCCAATTAAGAATCACGAAATCAGAAAATAGACCAGCTAGCTACAACCCTTTAACTTTTGCTTAGTGTTTAATGCTTTTCAAAACCCTTTAGTGAACATTATGACGTTTGGGCCTGACAGCACCCTGGTGAAAGCAACAGGGCAGGTATATCACCCTGTTTACAGGTAGAGAAATTGAGACCTAGGGATTGAAGAGCTTTTCAGAGGCACTCGTCTGGGCATTGACAGAGCTGGGACAGTTCTTTTCCTGTGCTGGGTCGGAGGTTCTTTCCCCCTTGAGGTTTTTCAAATTGGCTAGGATGTGTACTATCCAGGAGCACCCCACTATTTTGTCAGCAGTGGCCAACAAGACTTCTCAGCAAGTTGGGTCAGGCATAGGGAGGTCTGGGTCCTTTTAAAAGGCACTTGTTGAACAAAGGCTTCTGGGAACCTGATCGGTTGACTGGTTCTGCCTGAACCAAGATGAGAGTTGGGGAGCAGTGATGGGCAAAGGATTCCTAGTAGTAGCCAGACATTGTTACAGCGGAAATTGCTAACACCATGAGGATAGGTGAGGGGTTAGGGACCTGACTGCCAGAATCACGTGGGGGCGGGGCTCCTAGTCTACATGTGTCTGCGTCTGGGCAGTTCTGGGTGTGTTGTGTGTCTGGGCATGGGTCTGTGTGGTGAGAGTGCCCCGCCCCAGCTGAGAGCCTCTACTCAGAGAGAAACTGCTGGGTCATTTGACTTGGGTAGGTGAGTTTAATTGGCCTTTCAATGTGAGCAAATTCAAGTGGCTCTGTAGAGACCAGCTCCTGTCTGTAGTCACAGTAGCCATGGCCTTGCCCTTCCTTTTCATGGGCTTTGTGGGTAGGAGACTTGCTGCCAGCACATAGAGACTAAGGCTGAGACAGCTGGGGTCTTTTGGGCTATGGGCTGTCCCACAGCTGATAGGTTTCCTCCAGTCTAGGTGGGCAGGTGTTTTACCAGGGGCTGTTGCACTTACGTCATCAATAGCAGCAGTCAGCAGTTTAATTGAAAGTATTTTTCAACTGCTTTTCTTTTTGAAGGCTAAGATGAAGCTGCCACTCAGGCAGAGGGCTGAGCAGACTACCACCCAGGGTTGCAAGGCACCCATATCTGGTGGTGTGGCCATGCCACAGGAAGCCGAGGGGCAAGTAGTCCCCTTTCCTAGTTAGGGGCTATTTCCTGAGCAAAGTAGACTCCAGGAGTTGGGGTCTGGAGGGGGCAAGAGCTTGATGTGAGGGAGGAGGTGGCAGTAAGCCCAGAGTTTCTCCTCCCATTTTGCTACAGGACTAGGATTCTGTGGCTGGGTGGTTTGAGTAGGTGTATTTTTTCATTCAGTTAGCACTTACTGAGCACTGACTGTACCAAGCCCCAGGAATTGATGAAGGCAGACACAGGCCGAGCCCTTGGAGCTCACAGCTCGGCGAGGTTACGCAAGCCAGCAGCCAGTGATACCACTTACCTGGTCTTCACTTCTGCTCCTCACCATCTCCAGCTGGGACACAGAAGTCCCTTCAGTCTGGTTATCTCACTTCTGCCTCCCAGATATTCTCTTGGCTCTGACTGCAAGACCACGGAAGCCCTAACAGGGAACATAGTGTGCGCAGTGGGGGTGTGAGGCCAGTGCGGTACAGTGAAGGGGGCCGCAGACCAGGCAGCACAGGGCAAGGGCTTGTATATCTGAAGTCTGCATCCTGAGGTGCCTGTGGCAAACCGGTCTTCGTTTCTGTCTCTTCAGTTCAGCCAGGCCCTGGCCATCCGGAGCTACACCAAATTTGTGATGGGGGTAAGTAAAGCCAGCTGCCCTTCCCACTGCCCAGTGGGCCTAGGTGGGGCTTAGGAGGCCAGCTCTGGTGGTAGCTGGAGGCAGGCCTCAGTATAGGGTATAGGGTGTTAACACAGTGTGTCCCTGCTCCCAGAGCCCGGGTGGGTGCTGGGGTGCTGAACTGCTGGGGTCACTGACACTCAGGTCTCTCTGGGTTTCAGATTGCAGTGAGCATGCTGACCTACCCCTTCCTGCTGGTGGGTGATCTCATGGCTGTGAACAACTGCGGGTAGGTGTGCACCCCTCTACCAGGCACTCCGCCAAGGCTGCAGGGGGACCCAGCTGAGCCCATCCAGCCCTCTGCCACCTCCCTCCTGGTCTGTGTGTAGGCTCAGCCTGCCAGGTGCCCTGGCTTCCTCTGGGATTCACCACACCCCTTTGGGATGCCTCTGTGGTTTGAGATATGGATAGCGGGATGTGGGTGGGTCTCCTTTTCCTTGGCTGATCATCTCCCACGTTCTCTGGGTCTAACATGCTCTCCTTCCTCGGCAGGCTGCAGGCTGGGCTTCCCCCTTACTCCCCAGTGTTCAAATCCTGGATCCACTGCTGGAAGTACTTGAGTGTGCAGGTAAGCAGGCTCCTAAGGGAGGAGGTATCTCCCATTCTTACCACTTCGAGCAGATAGAGAGGTTTTCTGGGCCCTTCATCGCACAGAAAGATGAGGGATTGTCATGGAATCCAGTGTTGTGAGTAGGGAGGATAAAGAGAATGTAAACTCTTGGTTTAAGGTAGGGTTTGTTTGTTTGTTTGTTTGTTTGTTTGTTTTAATCTGGAAGGGGTGGTTTCAGTTAATTTTCTTTTACTAAGGGAATGAGTGTCATTCTCATTTTTCCTTGTATGTTGCAGAATTTTATATTCTGGAAAATATAAATGTTATGGAAACTCTGGATTCTGCTGTCGTCTCCAATGAGTGATACTTTTTTTGTTTAAACAGTTAACATGGTTAGATGTAAATTGTAAACTCTGTCCGTTGGGCAACAAGTCTGTTCTCGGTTGGTGTCTTTTTTCTTTAAGTGAGCAGCTTGAGTTGGTTTTGCATACAGGGTTCAGCCACAGATATAGACAAAGAATATGGGGATTCCCTTGCTGGCTTTTTCTTTTCTAAGACTACCCTTTCCTCTCTAGTGACTGCAGTTGCCCTGTGTCAGCACTCTCATTCCCTAGGCCAGAAAGGCTGTGATTATTCTACCAGATCTTCAGGGTACAGTGTGTACCAACAACGCCTACCCCCAGTCTATAAGTTTCAAAAGTGGGTAATTACTCTATAGAACTTCCCTTCTTTGAGTGTGTACTTCACACCAAAATTTGCCTCCCTCTCTTCATTCTTCCGTGATAGAAGGTAGCTGCCTGTTTGAATGATGTCCTCTGCAGAAGAGTTAGTCCAAGAGGAAATTGTTGAGCCTTTCTCAGGACCGAAGGCATTCTGGTTTTTTGGGCTGTATCTTTTTGTATTATATTTTTTAGTGGTTGTTCTAGGGATGATAATACACATCTGGAAATAGAATTTTAGGTTGACTTTTTTCTTTCAGCATTTTAAAGATGTAATTCAATTACCTTTGGCTTACATTGTTTCTGACATGTGTCAGCCATCATTGCTATTTTTATTCCCTAAATTGAATGTGTCATGCTTCCCAGGCTGCTTTAAATTTTTTTCTTTATCTTTAATTTCCAGCAGTTTGACTTTGATGTGTCTAGGTTTGACACATTTAAGGCATTTAAATTAATTTTTCACTTTATTTTAGAAAGGATGTGAAGTAGTTAGATCTGAGTTTACTTAAAAATTTATATGAGACAGGTCTCCTTTTCTTCAACTCTTAAAGACTCTTAGAACAAGTGTGAGGGAGCCATGGGGAGGTGGTGAAGTCCAAAAACTTCTTACACTTCAAATAACATGGCTAGAAATGCAGCCTTGGGGTTGAAACCAATTTCTGTCCGACCCCTCCTCGTGCAGGATATTCCAGTGCCCAGGAGAGCCTGAGGGTTGAGCCGGGCCACATGGGGAACCTGGTGAGGGAGCCATTCTTAGGGTTTTGTGTTCTATGCCCAAACACCCTCCCATTGACTAGAGCTCGAGGATCCCAGTGCCCGGTCCAGGGAAGATCCTTGCCTTTTCCTGGCCTTGGTTTCCCTAGAATTAAAACGGGGCCAGTGGCCTGGGGAGGAGCCAGTGCACTGACTGGCCTCAAGTTGCGAGGAGGACAGATAGGAGGGAAGCAGGGAGACAAGAAGACAGGTGCAGTTCTTCCTAACAGCTGCAGTCAGTTCTATATGCATCATGTCCCGTGGGTGTTGGAGGAGGCCTGGACCACTTGGGCTCTAAAGCCAGAGGGCAGTACTCAGCAGTACTCTGCTCTATGGGGGTTGCCTACCCAGTAGCCCCATCAACGCTGGACACCCTATGGCGAAGGCGAACCACTTTAACACAAGGCAGATGTTGACCTTGCCCTTCAGAAATTCAAGCTTAGCCCCTCTACCCTGGCTGTGGGCTCTGAGCTCCTGAACCTTTCTTTGCCTTATGCTGGCCTTGCTCTGGGGCAGGATGTGAAATATGGCCTCCCCTTTCACTGACCTGACTGTTCCTTTCAATCCAGGGCCAGCTCTTCCGCGGCTCCAGCCTCCTTTTCCGCCGGGTGTCATCAGGATCATGCTTTGCCCTGGAGTAACCTGAATCACCTAAAAACACGCTGTCTCAGCCTGGCCACTGTGGATGAGGCCTGATCATCTTGGGCACTTGTAAGACAGCTCAAACCCAGCAACACCTAGATGTGCTCCAGCCCAGCCGGGCTTCGGTGTCCATGTTTGCCATGTTTCTGTCCAGAGTGAGGGCTGGGTGGGGGTGAGGCTACACCCAATAGATTGATCACCTGTTAGACCTGAGGAAGGTAGGGTGGGCTGGGGGAACTGGGGCAAAAATCTCCTTACTTCGCAGATTTGCTGAGTTTGCCTTGTGTAGGGTGCCAGGGAATGGCTTGTGGAGACCCAGATTGGATGGGCAAAGGCTCCTGGTGTCAGATCCCACCCCCACTCACACCCACGTCAGCCCCAGCTCTGATCCTGCAGCTCAGCTGAGAGCCTCGCTCTCCTGCTTGTAAATAGGGCATGATCCCCTTCCACGAGGCCACCATCATGTACAGGCCTACGCTAGGAAGCTATTGCTAGGTTCTGCCTTTATTTTTCTCAACACTACTTTTCTGATACAAAGGCAGCACCTTCTGAATGGGAAATCATGTGACTGCTCAGAATGTGTTCCCCTCATCAAGTGCTCATCGGTTTAATGGTGACGCCTCATGTGCAGGATCTGTGCAATTGTGAACACCCAAAAGTTAGGCAGATCAGTGTCTCTAGTCCTACCCAATTTAAAAGTTCCCAATAAGATTTGACCCTTTTTCCCTCAAATAAATGTATTGGTGGTGATTTGGAATTTTGTGGGGAGTCTTTTATGAGCTTAAAAACTATCTGCAGAGCCTTTCTCAGTCCTTGGTATTTGTATCAGAAGAGGCTGTAGAGCGACAGTGCTGGGGTCAACCCGGCCTGAGGATAAAAAGTGCCAGGACTTGATGTAGATCATCCTCAGTGGGTGGAGATGTTGGATGATTTTCTGATTTAGATCAGGCCAAGATGCAAGTTCACAGAGCAACAGCTAGGCCATAGGCCTATTACCAGGTAGACAATCTCTTTAAAGGCCCGTCAGCTTCAGAAAATGTTCCACCCAAACCCCTAATTTATCGATGACATTCGCAGGTTTTACTGAGTCCTTTAGTGGTCACATGGTTACAGCAGAAGGGGCAGACATGGACCCAGCTGTAGCACCGAGCCCTACCTTCCCTGGTAAAGGAAGTGCTCTCCTCGATTCACTTCTGCCTGATACTGGGGTCTATAAACAGGCAAAATTTACAAATAGAGTGTCCTGGCCCTGGAGACCATGGGCTTCCATCTGATAAGATGCAGCTGGTTTCCTCCGAGTGTTTCTCTGCCCTTGCTCTAGTGTTGGGGTCTGGTGACCTTGGTCATGCTTCCTTACAGGTATGGGCCGGGTCACACAGAAGGAAGGCCCCTGGGAAGCTATTGCAGACTAGTTTTCCCCAGTGACCTAATAACAGCTGACTCGAGGGCAGTTTGCTTTATAGATGGTTGTTCCCCAAGAACACATGAGTGTGCCTGAGGGCATCCTGTAAATGTACATTGGTTGAGGCCACTAAGGTCTTGTACTTACTTCAGATAGCTAAAGTGGCAGAGAAGGAGAGCACAGTGCAGGTGAGGGGGCCAGGCCGTGCTTGCATAATTTCTTTAGAGAAGGCAGGCCTTTCAGAGGCATGTCAAGCCTCATGGCTTGTTTTTCTCCAGCTTAGCGAGGTTTCCCACAGCACTGACCATTGTTTGGGATAACTTCTTGCTGCTCCACCCTTAATACAAAAAAAATCCTATTTTTGTATTAGTTCTTATGGTCCCCCGGATATAGGGGCACTTGCATATCTGGAGGCTGTGCTGAAATGGCCCCAAAGAGCTCCTCCCTTTGACAGCCGCCTCCTCCCAGGCATTTGGGGTGGCCACCTGTAGTAAAGAACAGGATATGAGTGGGCTCAGTGAGTTACCTCGAGGAGAGCCAGTGCTGGTTGCAGGTAACACTGAATTAGGTGTCTCAACTACATTTCCCAGGCTATCTTCCACACCCTGAAATGGCTAGAAAATCCCTTTCGATACTTTCTAAATTTTTAGTTGAACAGAGTCCAGGTTTTACCCCCAACAAAAAAAAACAAGGTTTTACCCTTCACTTCTAAAGCAAGTTTTGAGTTTAATATTCAAATGCATGTATTGTGCATATTAAATGCTCTTTTTTTTCCCCTGGTCCCCTCAGCCTTTAAAAGCTAAACCCTCATCATCCTCTGAGCACCTGGCATATTCCCTGTCAGTCCTGGAAACTAGGCTGACATGGTCCACATCTGAGAGAGGAGATTGGGTTGGGTTGGGGCAGCGGGGAAGCTGAAGTGTCAGGAAAAGGAAGGGTGATGGGAGGAGAATGCTGTGGGAAGCCAGTCACCGTCCTGCCTTCCTGGAAAACTTCTGATGGACAAAACTGGAAATGCCTGTGACAGGCCTTTTGGGACACCCTGTGATGAAGCCTGAGGTGGCAGTGGTAGCCTGTGCTGGGTCCCTACTATGGTCCTTGTTCCTGTGCCAGTCCCCAGATAACTGAGAGCCAAGCAGCATAGTGCTGGAGCTGACCCTCTGCCACCCTGGTCATTGAGGCCTCAAGCGTGCCATACCCCTTGCCCTCTGAACATTCCCCCTCATCCTCATGGGCTTGTGCTGATGTATTCGCTCCCTGCCAAATTGTCACAGCCCAGCCTGACTGTACGGGATACCATATTATTTCCCTCAACATAAGCTTCCAAAGAGTTCCCTGTTTCTGGTTATGAATAGATAATCTCGTGTGATAGTTTTCCTGAGGGCTGGCCATAGATGTTCTTACTTTGCAGGAAGCAGGCAGAGCCTACTCAAAAACTAAGAAAGTTGGGTTTGGGCCTCCACAGTCCCTCTTTGCCCAGAGGCTTTCACAGCTGACCACTTAATAGGATCTGGGGACCAGCTTGAGAAACGGGCCCAGGAGAGGAGGGACCCCCTCTCAGGAACCCAAGTTGGATCAATATCTGAAAATCAATGTAATAGACTCTTATCCATAGAATAAGGAACAAGAGATATGTGAACATCTTAATAGACAAAAAATATTTGGCAGAATTCAACACCCTTTTATGTTAAGAACACTCAAAAACCTAAGAATAGAACTTCCTAACTTGATCAATGGCATAACCTGATAAATGAGAAACCCACAAGTAATACTGAATAGTGAAAGGCCTAATGTTTTTCCCCTAAGATCAAGAACAAGAAAAGGATGTCTGCTCTTGCCACTACTCAACAATTGTACTGGAGGGGACTAGCCAGGACAATTAAGTAACGGGGGGAAAAGTTACATGATCTTGTATATATAAAATCCTAAAGAATCCACTAAAAATACTTCTATAAGTAATAAATGAATTCAGCAAGGTTATAGGATACAAAATCAATATACACAAGTCAATTGTATTTCTATACACTTGCACTTGAACAAAGTGAAAATGAAATTAATAAGAATTTCATTTACAGTAGCATCAAAAATAAAATACTTATGAACACATTTAACAAATACTGAAAAACTTTTTGAAAACTACAAAACATTGTTGAAAGAGAAGACCTAAATGAATGGAAAAATATTCCATGTTCATCGATTGGAAGACTTAACATAGTTAAGATGGCAGATTATACACTATTAAAATCTCAGCTGACTTCTTTTGCAGAAATTTGACAAGCTGATTCTAAAATTAATATGGAAATTCAAGGGACCCAGAATAGCCTAAAAATCTTGAAAAAGAAGAACAAAGTTGGAGGACTTAACACTTCTTGTTTTCAAAACTTAACTACGAAGCTACAGTAGTCAAGATGGTGTGGTACCGCATAAAGACAGATATATAGCCCGATAGAATAGGATTGAGAACCCAGAAGTAAACATTCACTTTTATGGTCAAATGATTTTTGACAAGGGTAACGATTAGAAGAGGAGAGAATAATCTTCAATGAAAGGTGCTGGGACAACTGGATATGCACATGCATGAGAACGAAGATTCCTATTTTATACCACATACAAATATTAACTAAAAATGGGTCAAAGATTTAAATGTAAGAATTAAAACTATAAAGCTCTTAGAAGAAAACAGGCATAAATCTTTGTAACCTTGGATTACGCGGTGGTTTCTTAGCTATAACATCAAAAAACACAAGCAACAAAATGAAACAATAGGTAAATTGGACATCGTTAGAATTAAAATGTGTTCAAAGAATATTAAGAAAAATTGAAAAGACAACCCTCGGTATGAGAGAAAATGTTTGCATATCATATATCTGATAAGGGACTTGTATCTAGAACATAGAATTCCAACAACTCGATAATGAAAATACAAATATCAAATTTTTAAAAATGGACAAAAGAATAGACATTTCTCCAAAGAAGATACACAAATGGCTAATAAGCACATGAAAAGATGCTTAATATCATCAATTGTCAGGGAAATGAAAAAAACAATTACACAATAAGATGGCTATAATCAGAAAGAAGTGTTGGTGAAGATGTAGAGAAATTAAAACCCTAATATTATTGCTGAAGCACACGTAAAATTGTGGTTACTTTGGAAAAAAGTCTGGCCGTTCAAGAAGTTAAACATATCCTCAAAAAACTAAAAATAGAACTACCAGTAATTCCACTTTTGGGAATATATTCAAAGGAAACGGAAACACTAACTTGAAAAGATCTCTGCACCCCCATATTCATAGTAGCATTATTTACAATAGCCAAGACATAGATACAATCTAAGTGTGCATCAATCGATGAATGGATAAAGAAGATAGGGTATATATATAATAGAGCCATAAAAAAAAATTCTACTTGTGAGAACATGGATGGACTATGAAGGCATTATGCTAAATAAAATGAAGTCAGAAGAAGACAAATACTGTATGATCTTATATGTGGAATCTAAAAAATCCCCAAACTCAGAGAAAGATGAGACTTGTGGTTACCAGAGGCACAGGGTAGCAGGAGGGGGAATTGGAGGAAGGAGGTCAGAAGATAACAAATTTCCAGTTATAAATAAGTGCCAGGAATGTAATCAACATGATGACTACAGCTAACACTGTCGTAGATAGGAGGATGTGTAGGCAAGTTGGTCAGAGTAAACCCTAAGAATCTTCATCACGAGAAAATTTTTTCTTTCATATTTTTATTTATATGAGAAGGATGTCAGCTAAACCTATTGTAATCATTTCACAATACATGTAAATCAAACCATCACGCAGTACACCTTAAACTTATACAGCGATTTGTTAATCATTTCTCAATAAAACTGGAAAAGTTTAACAGTTACCATATGATCCAAAGTTACCAAAATGATACCACTCTTAGGTATATACCCAAAAGAAATGAAAACATAAGTCCACATAAAGACTTGCACATGACTATTATATCAACACTATTATAATAGCCAAACAGTGGAAACAACTGAAATGTCCACTACCTGATGAATGGATAAATAAAATGCGTTCCATACAATGGACTATTACTTGGTAATAAAGAATGGAGTGCTGCTCTATGCTATCACATGAACCTTGAAAATATGCTAAGTGAAAGGAGCCAGACACAAAAGGCTCCATGTTGTATGATTCCATTTATACAAAATGTCCAGAACAGGCAAATCCACAGAGACAATAGATTAGTGGTTGCTTAGGGCTGGGGGGTGGAGTTGGAGGGAAAATGGGGAGTGCCTGCTAATGGGTATGGGGTTTCTTTTTAATATGATGAAATATTCCCAAATTGACCGTGGTGATAACTGCACAACCCTGTGACTACACCAAAAACCATTGAGTGGTACCCTTTAAATGAGTGAATTTTATGCTATATGAGTTTATCTTAATAGACATTATATTATATACATAGATAGAAGGTGCACAGCCCTGGCCTGATTTGGATGCTTCCTGTGTAACTGCTCACACTTTGACTTTGGCCTGGAGACAGTTGCTCTGTTTCTTCCCCACCAGCCCCAGCTTGGTCCAAAGCCGCCTTCAGTAACCTACTGTTGCTGGCCCTACACACATTGCGCTTTCCTGCCCCATAGCACTTCCGGACAAACCTGCTGTGCTTTTCTGGGAGAGTGTCTGTGGCTCCAGAGCCTTTCTCGGGACTCCTCCAAGCACCAAAGGTTGGCAAAGCCATGCCTGAGCTACATTTCTGACCTTGTGTCCCACATGGGCCTTGGCAGCAGCACCCCCGTAAAGAGGTTGCATGCTACTCCTTAATCCTCCCCCAACTCAGCCCCACTGGTGACTCCTGGATTTGGGAGTCAGCCCAGTGCCCTTGGCCTTCCCTTGGCCCTTTCCCCTTTCTGCCAGCTACCTGAAGATTTGAGTGGGTGGGAGGAGGTTTATAGGAAGGAAAGGAAAAGTGCCCCCCAAAACTAAATGGAGTATTTGGGGGAGAGAGTATGAAAAAGGGAGAGTTGCAGGTTGGTAGGGGAAGTGTCAAGCCTCTTCAGGGCCTCCCAAAGAGCCCTCCTTTGTCGCCCACCCCTTGTGAGCAAAGAGACTCCGGGTGCTCTTACAGAGGCTTTTATTCAGGAGTCAGAGGCTGCTTCCCTTCCCTGTCCCTGCCTGCCCCATCCATAGAACCCCACTCAGGAGAGTTTTGTCCATCTGTTACTCACAAACCCTTTGAAACTACAAATAGGGGGAGGGAGCCACTCAAAGAGAATCCCCTACCTGGCATAGGTAGACAGCCACGGGCCAGGTAGGCAAAGATCTCCCCAGAATCCCCACCCACCTCCCTGGACTGAGATAAAAGGAGCAGGAGGGGTCTGGGCCAGATGTGTAGTCCTCAGGTGGCAATCTGAGTTCGCCACCAGCCAGGCCAAGCAGTCTGGGTGATGCCCTGCAGCCCTTCCCTTCCAGAGGGCCTTCAGTCAAGAAGTGTCTTATTTGGGGGACTGGGACAGTCTTGGGGAGATGAGAGAAGGACAGTTGACCTCTTCACCCTGGGAAGGCAGAAGGCAGTCCTGGGAACAGCTCAGGACTCAGATGGCTCCAGGAAGAGGCCAGGGGACTGGGAGGGAACAAGGGTTTCCTAGGAAGCCCTGAGATCTTCTAGAAGAGCAGGACCATGGCCACAGGAACACTGTTCAGAACAATCTGCAGCTAGCTGAGGGATGAACCTCCCCAGAGGCAGAGGCAGTCCTGGGGAAGTGCCAGGTGTTGGCCTGTAGAAGCCTCCTGAGGGCACAAGGGCACTAGCCTGGAGTCTGGCCAGAAGCTGGGGTGAAGGGGGCTGCTGGGCCACAGAGCAGGACCTGCCCAGGAAGCTGTGGCCTCTTGGAGAAAGACAATCCAGAGTGGGCATGAGACCAGGGTCCTCTGACCAGGCCTCACCTTTGAGTGTTGATCCCTTCAGAAGACTGCAGCCAACACCAAAGGAAGCAGTAGTAGCAGACCCAGAAAAGGGCCCCAGATGTAACCAGGGCCTGAGTTTGGCTCTGAAGAGATTTTAGGGTCCTCTGCACCTGTGGGAAGGGAGAAGGTTTGCCTCAGCCTGGAGATAGCTCTACCTGACCTCCCACCCACCACCCCACCAGGCATGCAAGTGGGGGTCCAGCAGCCAGGAAGAAAGCTCCTACTCGGAGGGTGCATGCTCCACCATGCCTACGCTGCCTACGTTGGGGGCAGGGTGCTGACAATCTGGAGTCAGGAGGAAAGGTAGGATGGACACTATAGGCCTTAACCTGCAAGGACAACTGCTGGGCCAGGGTATTAGTGGTGGCAGAGATATTGGGGAAATTGAGTAGGGAATTGGAGAAGGTGTGCCCCAAGTGGTCCAGTGTGGCCTGCAGCTCACCTGGTTCATTCTGGGTTAGAGAAACTGAGACCAAAACCTCACTGGACAAAGGCGACTCAGCCTCAGCCTTGCCCTCCTCCTGGGAGTGGGATCGTGGCTCCTGTGTCCCTGTCAGAGATATCTTGGGGTGCAGAGAACTCTTTGGGCTCCTGGAGGACATTCTTGTCCTGCTGGCCTCTTTGTCTGCCAATTTGAGGATGGGATCCTGGGTCAGACTGGGGGAGGTAGTTGGCCCTTCATCCAAGGAGAGCAGGCTGTGAGTTTCAAAAAAGGAGGGGACCTCGGTTGTTAAGGAAGGTGGAGCTTCTGTTGCCATGGAGGAGGGGCCTTCCGTTGCTAAGGAGGATGGTGCCTTGGTCTCTACAGCAGGTAGAGCTTTGGTTGCCAGGGAGTCTGAGACCTCTGTTACCAAGAATGGAGTTTCTGTTCCTGGGGAAGAAGAAATACCCGCTTTCCTAGAGTCTGAAGCTTCAGTTGCCAAAGAAGATGGGGTCTCAGTTACCAGATAAGGCAAGTCCTGAGACTCTTCTGGGCCTCTGATAGGTTCTGATAAGAGAGATAAGGCCTGGCATTAGTGTTACAAGCCGGACCCCATATCCCTCACCCCACCGCAATCAAGGCGAAGCGACCAAACGTCCTATGAAAACACACAAACACACATACACTCTCTCCAGCGAATATATCCCTAATTAATAATAAATGCTCCTCCATTCACCTCCTTGTCCAAGTCTTCCTCTCTCTGCTCTCACACTGCCACTTTTTCAGGAGACTTCTCAAGCTGAATTCCTGTTAATACTCCGACCACGCCCACCAGTCGGCTCCGCCCACCCAGGCTTTCTCCATCTGACTACGCCCACCTCGCGCGGAGCTTCTCCTCTACCCTCCGCTTGGAGGGTTGAAATCCTGTCTCTGGGAATGACAGGGCGCCACAATAGGTGCTCAAGGAGAGCAAAACAGGCTTGGGAACTCGGATGGGGAGGGACTGCCGAGGGTCCTTGGAAGTTGCGTCCAGCTGGGCCCTTCCCCTGCCCACGCACCGCTCTGGCGCCGGGAGAGGCTCGGGACGATCCAGTGGGCGTCCCTTCCCTCCCCTTCCTCACCCTCCCCAGTCCATCCCCAACTCACCACAGACGAAGTTCTCACAGCGGTAGCCCGAGGGACATTGGGAACACGGATGCCCCTCCTGGTAGGGCCTCTGCCCCTTCACGTTCCCTCTGTAGGAGGAGAGCAAACTGCTGGAGGAGGTCCGTGGCAGACCCTGACCCTACCCCTGATACACACACCTAGCCCGAAAGGGCCCCTGGCTCTTACACGCCCACAACTAACTTGCTGGGCCAGTGAGAGAAGATTCCCATCGGTAACCTCACAACCCCCCAAAGGTATAGGACATAGGCTCCAGATTGGCCGCCTCCCACTTGCCTAGACTGCGTCCGATTCAGCCCTCCCTATAGGGCTCCCTTGTACTCACGGGGGCTCATAGTTGCAAACCAGCAAATGGATATTGGTCTCCTCAACGCCCTGGAGCTTCTCACAGAAGTGGGAGCCACAGCCAATCCTCTCTGTCTTGGCCCAGACTACCTGAAGAAGGACAAATCCAACAGTTTACCCTGGGTAGGATGGCCTCTAGCTGGTGTCTCTTTAGACCAAGTGGGGAGAGGAAGAAGCCTTATAGCCTGTTAGATGTGAACCCCTGAGGACATGTAGCTTCAGGACAACTCTGAACAAAGGATTTGAGGGAGATTTGTTCTGAAGAGTCTACTCTCCCTTGCCAACCATGCGCACCATTTCATCAGGCCTCTCTTCCTTTGAAAACCTTCCCTTTTGATATACCCTCGTGAATTCTTCCTAGAGGCTACTGCATTTTAAACCAGGGGTATATCCAAAGGAATTAATCTCAAATGGGAGAATCTTAGACATCAGCAACAAGTAAAATCCAAGGGAGGGAATAGGAGGAGCCGTTTTGGAAACAGAACTTCTCCCAAATCACAAGGAAGCAGGAACTTGCTCTGTAGTCTCTAAGTGTGTCTCCTAGCTGCTAGAAGTTCTGTCTTAAATATAAAATTTTAAGTCAAAACAGCCTTTGTGCACTGCCATGGGTTTAGACCAGCAACCTCCTCTTGTTATTTCTTGGCCCAGTCAGCCTAGGAGTCACTCAAACTGAGGCCAGATTTTGCTATGAGATCTGGTTCTGGCTGTTAATTCTGCACACCGTTCCAGGACTGGGGTCTTTCTGCTTGAATCAGCTGAAGGTCCTCCAGGTACCACTCGGGTGATTTCTCCCAGGCAGAAATCACCCGAGTGCACACACACTCAGGCCTACAAAAGGCTGAGATGGAGATGGGGCAGACCCACCCCTGCTGGGCACAGACTGCAATCCTAGAGGAGAATGTGTGTGGGGGGGAGGGAAGTGCAGGAGAGGTGGCGGGGTATACAGGGAAGGGGGCAGGGAGGGCTGACGCACCCTCACAACTTCCTGATCTGGGCGGATGATGTTGGGATTTCCTGCCCTAAAGATTAGCACTAAAAATACCACCTAAAAGAGGCACTGGAAAATCAAATTGGTGGATATGGGTAGGAGGATGATTGTTTTATTTTCCTTTGTCTTTTCTTAAAAACTTATCTTCACGTTATTATTTGAACAACAAACACTGGGAGGAGGAAAGAGAGAATTCAGTAATACTAATATTAATTCCCCTACACACATGCGCGCACACACCCTTACTCCTCTTAAATGCAAATTCAAACTTTCAAAATGCAGTGAGAATCCCGACATAAGTAAAAGGTGATGGTGAGGCAGGACATGGTCTCAGAAGACTCCCTGAAACCTTTCCTCAGTGACAATTTGCTCTTATTTACAGTGTTCAGAAGCAAAAAAAAAGTTAAGCAAACAAAACAATATTGTGTGCTTTATCATCCTCTGGCGGATTAGAAGCAGCAACTTAGGCACCGTGAGAAATGCCAAAAGGACAGTGAAAGAGAAGAAAGAAGTGGGGTGGGGCACTTACTGCTGGGGCAAAAGCTCTGCATAACTCAGGCTGGAGGACAGCACTGCTACCATCCAGGAAACGGCCCTGAGACCCCTAACTGAGGTCTCTTCAGTAGCAGCAGGCCGAAAGGGATGGCCTCGGTTTTCAGACGGTGGTTTTTAAAGAAGAAGCTGAAAATGGTTTAGTCAGTTTGAGAAGCCGACTTCGTCAGAGGCCTGGACAACCATTAACTACTCTGGAAAGATGACTTTTATGAAGGATTTTAGGGAGTTTAGTGTGTGGACTAAAGGACTTGCCGGTGAAGGGACAGGTGGCCCCGTCTTGTATCGCCCATGGCGGATGCGGCCCCACCCATCTGCCGGCCCGCCGGCCCTCGCACCTGCGTGTAGTGGCCGCACATCTGGCCTGGGTCGCAGGTGGCGGTGCTGAGGTTGTAGTGCTCGTGCTCAAGGTACCACTCCTCCACGGCCAGCGGCACGTCCATGCCCTCGTCGGTGATGGCGAACAGGTTCTCGCCGCGCTTCCCACGTGCTTTGTTGTGGCCCCACACACACTCCTGCGCGTAAGCCTTAGCAAAAGCAGCCAGCTCCTCGTCCCACCTCTGCGAGACAGGGACAGGTCGGGGAAGGAGATGAGGACACCTTGGGCTCGATGGAGGAGGGGGGGGTTGGGAAAAGGAGGTGAGGATGCCCACAATTCTGAACAGAGAAGTAGGTTGAGGATTTCCTAGGGGCCTTCGGAGGCAGGAGACCCTCCCTCCTTAGTAGGATGACTCTTACTCATATCTGGAAAAGGTCTCTGCTCCTGATGAACTTCTGTGGAGAGGCGCGAGGGTGCCACCCCAGGCGGTGGAGTTAGCCAGACTCGGGCCCATTCACCAGCTGTGTAATTTTGGACAGGTTCCCTAACCTTTCTGAACTCACAGGAAGTTGAGAAGAGTAAAGGAAGAATAAATATTAATATTAACATTCTTCTGTGAGGAAGGTGGGCAGTGATGCCCCTGCCTACCTGCCCGAACTGCTTTGAAAACCACAAGATGTCCAGTGAGATGTTCAATGGCTGGGTTGTTTATTCAGCCATGCCTCTGCCTCTATCCATTCACCATAAATCTGACTTGGGGGTCAACGCTCCTCTCTCAGCTTCCACTCTCCCCTTGGAATAGCCCAGCCTCCATGGCTTTACCAGCTGCAGCCTTCCATCCTGAGTGCTCTTCCCAAGGGCTCTCAATTCTTGTCAACTGATGACCCTTTTCCCCCCCAAAATTATGTGCCTCTTATGACTCACTGAGAGGCCTCTTTTTAGAGCTTTGGTGGCCCAAAGATCTTTCAGATTCCAAAGGCAGCGCTCTCCAGTGGGGACCTCAGGTGAGACAGCGAGAGGAGGCATTTTAGGTTAGGGGGCCTCTGAGGTTCTCTGTTCTTGGCTGGGAGGACAGGCCCAGTGTGGGTGGGAAGAGGGATTAACAAGGCATCCGACCAAAGGATTGAGGAAGGAGGCCTGGATCCCATTAAACTTTGTCCTGGCCTCTCCTGGAAAGGGATTGCCTGGCGGTAACTCTTGCTCCACCCTCTGGGGGCCCATCCAGCTGTGGGAGCCAGACAGCCCATAAAGCTCCTAGAGCTTGGGTGACCCCGAGGGAAGGAGGCTGTGTGGCCACACCCACTCTCTACCCACAGGAGGCTTTCAGGAGCAGTTGCCTGGGATGGGGATGGGAGCACTGCAATGAGAAGAGCTCCACTGCTATGACTGGGCTTTTTTTGTCCCAAATCACTGGTCCCTGAGGTTCTCTCAAACTCTGGTGACAGTGGGAGATAAGGAATGGGAAAGGGGCAGAGTGCTGGGGACCAGGATCAAACTGTCTGGGATGACTTGCAAGACTCCAGACTAGACCGTAAGCTCCTTCGGGGTAGGACAGTGTGTATCCCCACTGTCTGGCACAGTGCTGGCATACAGCGGGTACTCAACGGATATTTGTCAACTGATCACAGAGACAGGGCCCTGCTTAAAGCAGTATCCCCTACAGAGCCAGGCTGTCACTTCCATTCTGACTAGATGCCTGGAGCCCCGCCATTAGAGAGTTATTCCCTTGGGATTTAAGTCTTCTCAGTGGTCTAGAGACTCCTAGGGAGCTTCAAGAGTCCTGGCACCCACCTGTATTGGCCACATGGTCACCATCTGAAAGCAATTCATTCACTCGCTCACTAACTCTCTCATTCATTCATTCAACAGTCCTGGGCACCATGCCAGCCCTGGGATGACAGCAAAGAACAAGAAGCCATGTTGTCATAAACTACAAACTGGGTCACCATGTGGGAAACGAGAGGTATACAATGGGTAGAATGCAGGCATCAAAGAGGGCCATTTAGCTCAACCTGTGGGTAGAGAAAGAGACAGTAAGCTAAGTGTCAAGCAGATTTTTGGTTGGGGGAAAGATAAGCTATTCGGGTTACTGAAGGAGAAAGTGGGCAGGAGAGGAATCTGAAGATGTAGGCAGGGGCCAGATACACAGAGAGGTTTCTCAGGAGCTGGAGCTTTATCCTAAGGCACTAGGGAGCCAGTGGGAGCCATTGAAGGGTCTTGAGTAGGGTCAGGCCTGTGAGTCAGATCATTCATTTTGGTAGCAGAGGCCAGAGGCTGGGGAAGCCATTCGAGGCTGTCCTAGGAGTCCTTGGGAGAGGAAATGAAAGACTGAACCAGGCTTGTGCCAAACGGATTGGGTGGGCTTCAAAGAAAACTGAACCTTTTTGGAGGTAAAAGTGGTGATTAGATGTGGAGGCTGAGGAAGAAAGAAGAGTCCACGATAATCCCCACCTGCCTCACCCTGGATCCATTCTTGCTTTTGTTAATCCCTTACTGAGCGCTTACTACTTGCCAGGCACTGTTCTAAGTGCTTTATACATATTCGCTCATTTAATCCTTACAACCATCCTACAAGGGAGTTTTTATGTTATCATCCCAATTTACAAATGAGGAAGCTGGGCACAGAGAGGTTAAGTAACTTGGCTGAGGTCACACAGTTAATAAAGGGCAAAGTTAAGATTTGAACCCATGCCATATGGCTCCTGAGTCTCTGCATTTGCCACTGCTGAGGTTGCGCCTGAGCCTTGTTCCCACCAGGCAGCAGCATATCCCCTCAACCTCTGAACTGCTTTCAGGAATGTTACCCAACACCTGAGATCCACCTCTGTTTGCAAAGCAGCTCCCAGCCTGTGTAGCCTCCCAGTCTCGGCCAGCAAGACTGTAGGGCATCAAGGATCTACAGATGGGGAAACGGAGGCCCAACACTGAGTTTCAGGCTTCACTCACGGAGTTGCTGGCAGAGCTGGTACCAGCATCCAGGGCTCCTGATTTGTTGTCTGCAGTCCCTGGTTGCTCAGTGGTGGTGCTGTGTGTGTCTGTAGAGCCCCTCTAAGATCTTTTTCATGTGTCATCCTGTCTGACTCTCAGGGCAGGGATGCCCTGGATCAGGAAACTGAGGCCTTAGATAGTAAAGGGGCCCACCAGAAACGCTTTGCAATATTGGACAGAGCTGTTAGAACTCTAGTCTTGGACACCCAGGCTCACTGCCGTGTTCCCCAGGTTTGACTTTGCTCTCAGGCACCATCTATGGCTCCCTGGACACTGACCATCAACTTCCCGGGCCACCTGAGGGAGGGCAGGAACAGGGTAAATTTCTCACTTTATCTCTTTTAATCCTGAGCATAAACATTCTGTCCCTAACCCTGCCATCAGATAACTCTCCCTCCCTGACAAGAGGTAACCACCTCCCTGCCTCGAATCTGGCTTCTTTCATATGTAGGCAAGTCCATGTATGTTTGCTACATTGGCATGTGTTCCCGCCTGTATACAACAGTATTTTAAACTGCATGTAAATATATCCTACTGTGTCTATAAATGGAGAGAGATTTCATTCCCCTGCCATTCAGTATTACATCTGTGAAATTCAGTACATGTTGATATATACGTAGCTCTAATTACGACCCCATTTTACAGACGAGAAACTGAGGATCCTTATTATGTTAAGGGACTCACCCCAAATCATGGGTCTTGTAGGTGGCCGAGACAGAATTTAAACTGTGTGATCCAGAGTGCTCTCTGCTTCTGCTTCCTGTACTCGCCCTACTTCCTCAGTACCTCCCTCCTACCCAGAGGCCTGGACCCATCCTATGTTTCCTCTTCTCATCTCCTTGGAAGGCATCTGAAAGACCATTCCACTTCCCAGGGGGCACATGCATTTTAGGAAGCACTGGGAAGGGGTCATTGGGGTGGGAAGCTGGGGCATTCAGACCTGGCTCTATCAGCTCTTTGATCTGCAAGCCCCTGAGAGACCAGCTTGTCCCTCTGAGGCTCAGTTTCCACAGTTGTATAATGGGGCTTCTTATGGGGACCTATGAATTATATAATGTCAGAGACTCTGTCACTGACCCAAGAGCCGAGTCTCTGAGATGGCTTCAGCTAAGGGATGGGAGAGATTGGTGGGGAGCCTTGCCCAGCACCCCTTCAGTCCCGGCAGGTGAGTGCCCCTGGCCACACTCACCATTCGCAGCATGTTGGCGGCTGGTGGGGACACTTGGGCACGGTAGAGGTTGTGCAGCTCCACCATAACACGTTTCTCATCATCACTGAGTGCTCCGGCAAGGCCTATGGTGGCCACCAGCAGTAGCAGTGGCAGCAGCAAAAGCGCCAGGAGACTGCGGGAGCTGTGCATGGTGACCAGCCCTCTCTGCCTCTCCCATCCAGGGGTCTGGCAGCTGGATTTAAAGTCCTTCCCACACAAGCACCACCCTGGCTGGGGCGGTGGGAGGGGCTGTCTGGAGGCCTGGCCAGGCACACACAATGTCTTGGGGAGGGCTGGGTGCTTGGGTCCAGACCAGAGTTGAGTCCACTCCCAATCATTTATTTCCCCTCAGAGTCCTTGGAAAAAGACTCCTTTCTCTTGGTAACAGAGGCTCAGGCCAAGAACTGTGTGAGTGCTGCAGTCCTTCCCAAGTTGTGGACAGGTCCTCCAGGGGCAAAAGTACAGTAACCTCTGCAGAGATCATACCCACTGAGTGCTGAAGGCAGATAAGGGGAAGGAAACCACATGGACCCTATCCCTTAAAGGACTGGGCAAGAAAGAGAAGGCAGGTGGCTTGTGGAAGGATGGAGGAGAACAAGAAGTATTTGGTAAAGGTTGAGCCAACCTAAGTCTGAATCCTGGTTCTGCTTCTTTGCTAGCAGTGACAATAATAATACCTACCTCATCGGGCTCGAAAGAGGATTAAATGAGATTAAATGTATGTAAAGCACCCAGTACATTATCTGGCACGTAGTAGGCCCTCAGTAACAGTAGACAACAATCACGCACATGACATGGCCTTGGCCAGCTCCTAGCTCCGTGGGGAGGTAGGACTCTTGCTTATCAGAGGAGGGACTGAGGTGTTTCTCAGTCTAGCTGTGTCCTGGAATAGGATTTTTCACTATGAATAAAATTTTGGCTTCCATATGCCCCTGTGAATGCATGTTCTTGAGGAGCTCATTTGGAAGTGGGATGCTGGGACCACTTCAGTTCTGAATCTGTAGAAAATAGAATGTATCTGTTTTTGAAATCAAGAGAGAGCAGAAGAGTAGAGGGGTGCGTGAGCTGATGCAGCAGGAGCTGAGGGGAGGGTATCAGAAGAGAAATAGGCCCACTGGCCAAGCACTTGCATTGTAATGACCATGCAGGGGCAGAGACCGAGGTCTTGGCCTTCGTGAGGCAGGAAGCTGGAACCAATACTGCTGAGTTCAACTAGGACCCTTGAAGCCTGCACTCCCAGTGAATAGGGACCTGGAAGAAGTCTGCTCATTGGCTTTGGAGGATGGCAAGAAAACCTGTCACTGCTCAGGTCTCTGGGTAAAAACAAAAGTAAAACAAAAACAACTTGGATTCAAAAACAAACAAAACTATTAGAACTAATTTAAAAATTCCGCAACATTGCACAATACAAAATCAACACACAAAAACAAGTTGTGTTTCTATAGACTAACAATGAACAATCCAAAAAGAAAATTAAGAAAATAATTCCATTTACAAAAGCAATAAAAAGAATAAAATACTTAGAAATAAACTTAACCGAGGAGGCAAACAACTTAATACATTGAAAACTACAAAACGTTGCTGAAAGAAACTAAAGAAGACACAAAGAAGTATAAAGAAATCCTATATTCATGGACTAGAAGTCAATACTACCCAAAGTAATCTATAGATTTAATGCTATCAAAATCCCAGTGATAATTTTTTTGTAGAAATAAAAAGACCATCTCAAAAAATCATGTGGAATCTCAAGAAACCCCAAGTAGCCAAAAAAAAGTACAATTAAGAAAAACAAATTTGGAGGCCTTACACTTCCTGATACTACAAAGCTACAGTAATCAAAACAGTGTGGTACTGGCATAAAGACAGATACATTACATCAGTGGAATAGAATACAGAGCCCAGAAATAAACTCATGCACATATGATCAAATGATTTTTGGCAAGGGTGCCAAGACTATATGATGAAGAAAGAACAGTATTTTCAACAATTTATGTTTGGAAAACTGGATATCCACATGCAAAAGAATGAAGTTGGTCTCTTACTTTACACCATCTACAAAAATTAACGCAAAATGGATCAAAGACTTACACATAAAAGCTAAAACAATAAAACCCTTAGAAGAAAATACAGGGGGGAAACTTGATAACATTAGGTTTGGTAAAGATTTTTTGGCTATAACACCAAACACATAGGCAATGAAGAAAATATAGATAAATTGGACTTAATTAAAATTAAAAACTTTTGTGTCTTATAGGATGCAATCAACTGAATGAAAAGGCAACCCACAGAATAGGAGAAAATATTTTCAAATCATATATTTGATAAAGGATTAATCTCCAGACTATATAAAGAACTCCTACAACTCAACAACAAAAAACCTAAACAATCCGATTTAAAAATGGGCAGAGGATTTGAATAGACATTTCTCCAAAGAAGACATACGAGTGGCCAAAAGGCCCATGAAAAGATGTTCAAGGTCGTTAGTCATTAGGGAAATACAAATCAAAATCACAATGAGTTATCACTTCACACTCATTAGAATGACTATTATAAAAAACAAACAAACATTAAAAAAAAAACAAAACTATAAAGCAACCCAGAAAATAGCAAGTGTTGGCAAGGATATAGTGAAATTGGAATCCTCGTGCGTTGCTTCTGGGGATGTAAAATGATGCAGCAGCTATAGAAGATATTACGGTGGGTCCTCAAAAAATTAAACAGAATTAATTTATAATCCAGTAATTCTACTTCTGGGTATATGCCCAAAATAATTTAACACAGATTCGAATGGTATTTGTACACCAATGTTCATAGCAGCACTATTCACAATAGCCAAAAGGTGGAAACAACCTAACTGTCCATCAGCCTTTGAAAGGAAGGAAATTTTGACCCATGCTACAACCTGGATGAACCTTGAAGACATTATGCTAAATGAAAGAAACCAGACACAAAAGGGCAAATATTGTATGATTCTACTTATAGGGACCTAGAGTGGTCAATTTTTATAGAGAAAGAAAGTAGATTCATAGAGACAGAAAATAGAATGGCAGTTTCCTGGGGCCGGAGGAGAGGTAAATGAGTTATTTTTCAGTGGGTACACAGTTTCAGTTTGGGAAGATGAAAAAGTTCTAGAAATGAATAGTGGTGATGGTTGCACACATGAATGTACTTCATGCCACTAAACCATATGCATAAAAATGGTTAAAATAGTAAATTTTATGTTATGTATATTTTAGCACAATAATTCAAAAAAGAATTTGGGGAATTCTTAAATTAGTTCAGAGTGAGTTGGCTTGAGTAGTGGTAGCGGGGTAGTTTTGGCAGAAGCAGTTTTCACAACCCAGCCACTTGGGCTATCCATGAGAGGAAAAACTTCCCCAGCTTTAGCTCACAATCAGAAATTATAAAACACATGAGGAACTGAGCTACCGTGAGAAACAGAATACAACACAAATGGGAGGATCTCTGTTTTCAAAACTTGAAATAATAGAACAGTCTGGAAGACTTTCAAATAACTATATTTAAAATGATTCAGGAAATAAATGGGTAGCTGGAGAAAGGAGAAAGAAGGCTTCGGAGGTAGAGTTGGAGAGAATTAGAAGAGTTCAGGACAATAAGTTAGGACCAGAAGCTATTGGGAAAAAGTCAGAGTGGAGGAGAGAAGACTAAGAGAGACCAAATTAGACCTACAGCTCAGCCTGGGCAGCTTTCCCAGGGTAATTTAGCTCATGAAGCTGTGAGATGGGTATCTTTCCTCTGTAGACAGGAGAACTTGGTGAGTTCCTAACAGCTTGGGCTTGAGATAGAAATAAGGAGACTGAGAAGAAAACATAGACTTCCCAGAAAGTTAAAGTGCTAAGACCTGGCCTGGGGGGTGCTAGACTCAGGAGTGGGAAGGACACAGTTCTCAGACACATCCTGGGCAGAAGCAGGCACTGGCACTACAGGCTGCCCTGTTGTGGTTGCTTCTGTGGCCTCTGCCTGGTTCCCCTACAGCAGAGAAAAATAACTTTGTAGGCTCAGCATAATGGGCAGCATTCATTCATTCATTCATTCATTAAATGAAGAATCACAGAGCTCCATTGTACCAGGTGCTAAGCTGGGTGAATAAGACAAACCCAATCCCTGCTGTCATAAAGCAGGAGACCTCCACAGAAACACGTTTATAGTGCTGTGAATAAGAGTGTGGGGCTTACCAGTTGGGTGGCCATAGGCAAGTTATTTTCCTGATGGGTGGCATCAGTTTCGTCATCTGTAAATTGGGCTTAGAACAGAACCTATCTCATAGGATGGTTGAGAGCATTAAATAAGTTAGTACATGGATAGAGCTTTGTTCGGTGCCTGGCACAAACTGAACGCTCATTGAGTTAGCCAATATGAGTGTGTTCTTCTTTATTATTATTATTATTATTATTAGTATTATTAGTATTATTATTATTACAGGTGGGAAAGTTTACAGGGCTTCAAGTTATAGCAGAGGAGAAAAGTACAGCAGTCTGGCTGAAGCCCCCTTGGCCTATGGAAGCTCACAGCTGGAAGGGGAGGACAGATCTCTGAGGGGCAGGGGCACTGGTGTGAGTGGTGCCAGGGCATATGGACTGGGGGAGGCAGGGAAGGAGGAGCAGCCTGGTTTTCTTAAGAGGGGAGGGTGAATTTGGCACAGAGACCGGTGGAGACCAGAGCCAGTGCAAATGTTTGGAGACCAAGGGTGTGCAGCCAGAGCACCCCACTCTGCGCGTGCACTTTCTGTTGCCACAAGAGTGATCTCATTTACTCCTCATATGACAGCTCTGAGGTAGGTCTCATAACCACCACACACAAGGAGACTGATGCTCAGAGAGGTAAGGTGATTTCTCAATGTTGGGGTGAGGGTGGCAGAGCAGTAACAGGGGGTGGGACCAGAGCCTGGGAACTGCCACTACAGAGAGAGGGAGGTTGGGGACAAGCAGATGAGGGAGAGAGAGGGATGGAGGACATGAAATTAGGGGAAGAGAACTGAGAGGGAGGAATGACAGAACCAGGCACATGGAGGACTGGCTGTGGTTTAAAACTATGTTTTTCTCTATAAACCGTGACTCAGAGGAAATATAGATTTCTTTTGAATTATTATCTGTATTTATTTTAGATAGTTTCATTTTGAATAGCAGTAT